TGCGCTATAATTGGAGTGTTTATTATTTTGTTGCTCCGTTGTGTAACCTGTAGGTTGTATAATTTTATGCGCCATACGTTATTAAACGCCTACACGTTAAGTTAGGCAACTTAAAATTATTTGTAATTGACGGTTTACTTCGAATTTTTCAACACGTTGTGTAGAAAAAATACTGTGCGGCTTTAAGAATTTGAAAATCCGGCGCTTATAGTACACATATCGTTTTACCTACTTTTTACATACATATCCTGCAGCAGCTAGGATCGATTAGGGTTTACTCCCGAGTACTGACCGTGTAAATGTACATAAAGCAATGAGTGTACACACGCACTATCTCCTCACTCGAGCGTGGAGACGACTTTTTTGTTGTTTTTTTATTCTTTTTTTTTTTGCTTTCTTTGTAATTCCCGTCGGGTAAGAAGGAGAAATAATGGTACGACTACACACGAAAACGTAATCGACACGAACACAGTGTATAAAATATATATGTGTACACGTGTATATGTGTGTGAGCGCGCGAGCCGCGCGCGTGAACGGCGACTACGATTTTTAAAAATAAATTAAATTTTCGACGGTTGTGCATTCGTCCGAAGTGGGCTGCATGAAAACCAGTTGCCATAACGGTTACACATTTGGAAAACCGAAAAATTACGAAAAATAATAATTTGCAAACAACGCACGGCGATATCGTCGTCGCAGTAATAACGTGTACGTGCGGGCTCGTGTGTGGCGTGGTGTACATGTTACATCTATACATATACACAAGGAGATCCAAGAGCGGAGACGAAAAATTATTTACAATCCTCGGCGGCAGCGGCGGCATTATCTCTCCTCTCGGGGACGGAGACCGTGGGAATGCGTTAACCGAACGCCCACAGTTGTGCTACGGTATACCGACACCGACTGGTTTTTTTTTCCATCTCTTCTTTATGTCTATTGGTCTCTCTTCCCCGTCGCGACAGATTTCGTCGTTATCATACAAACGTGTTTACAATCGATGAAGTATGGGTCCAGTTTTCGCGGTTCAGCGTGTGACATCCCTGTCGTTCCCTCTGTACGTTTCCCGACGATCTGTATCACTCGGAAACACGCCGAAAACGAGACCTTATTCGATTGTATTTAGTGAATTTATTTGCTGTTAAAAGTTTTTGTTTTTGAAAATTCAGAACGCAGATTAATAATATCGTTTTAATTGAGAATCCTGTTAGAAATTCTGAACATGTTTCGATTTAAAATCAGATCATCGATCATAATCTGAATATCTATGGACTGTAATTTAGTTTTAGATTATAGATCGTTATAAACTAGGTACAACGATGCCGACAGTAATATTTGAAGTTTTATGTTTACAACTCATGTACATTTTGATGCGATTTATTTTTTTTCCAAAGCTGTGTTGTAGGTATAGTTAAGAAAAAATATTTTTCATTCGACACATTCAGTACTTGCTACCCGTATGAATTACATATCTAATAATAATAATACATTTTTAATTTATACTGATATTCGTATAACTCCATGATTGTAGGTTCCATCAGTTCTAAATACAATAGTACAGCGTTTCTTAAACTGTGCTCCGCGGAACCCTGGGGTTCGATAGAGATCACTTCAGGGTTCCGCAAAGCTTTAGTAATTTTTTAAAAATGTTTAAGAAAATTACTTTAAAATGTCCAACTAAAGATTAGTAATGCTGAAAAACTGTTTGCATTATAGAAAAAAAAATGTTGTATATTAATAACAATGCATAAGCCATATGGAATAGTCTAAATTTATATTTAGTTTAATTAAAGTAATTATTATTAAAGAATTATAATATATATGTACACAATTATTATTATTTTAATTTTTATTTTAACATATTTTTTGAATTAAATACCTTTTACACAATATCATTGTATGATTATAATTTATTTACAAATAATCTTAAAAAAAGCTAAAGAGCCAAAAAAAAGTAGGGGCTCCATGATGAATGTAGACATCAAAAAGGGTTCCACGGATAAAAAAGTTTAAAAAACGCTGCACTAGTTTTCATCTTAGAATTTTAATTCAAATTAAAAAAAGGCGAAACTCCTTGATCGGGTGAAATTCCACGGTCAGGTGAGGTAAAGGGATGGATGAATGGTATTACAGTATTGATTTTTGGAGCTTCAAAAAAACAATTTTGAATAAAAGAGACCTGGGGGATCAGTTTATATTTCTAAAGATAATTGATATAGTAGGAAAACCAAAGCTCTTAATAATGTTGGTTGGACGTTTAATGTGATAATATGTAACCTACATGGACATAAAAAAAAACACATAAATTCTCGTTACGCACAGAATCTAAAACATTTTTAATTAAAAATAATAAAATAATTAAGCTGTATTATCCAACTGCAACGTCAAATGTATTTTTTATTGAGTTTGTACCTACTTCAACATGTATCATACATAGAATTTATGAAGAAATCAGTTTGGTAGGGTTATAAACGTATTTATAACATTTCAATGATGGCCACGTTATCAACAAAATAGACACACTGAATAAGTAGGTAGTTATTATTATTATTTACTTCTAAAAAACCTTGAATAATTTTCTATTACATTGTATAAAATACATTTTATAGTAAACCAATAAAATATTTGAAGAAAAAACCCGTGTCACTAAACTAATTTCGTATGGTATGCGTGGATTGTTATACATAAGATACGGCGAAAATGTATACTATTAACTATTAACTATTATGGGCTCGTCCGAAACGTGTGCGATTATAGTTCACAAAAAAGAAAGTGAAAAAATCGTACTTATCCTTTTACTAATAATATATTTATACGCGTGTGCTTCCAAGAATGAAAACAATCTAAATAAGAACATATCTTGGCTCTCGGGTGCCTACATAAAAGAAAACAAAGGTTTATTATGTAACATTAATAATGTTATTATATTTTTTTTTCGACTACTAATTGCAAATGTACAATGAAAAAAAAACTATACACCTGTGAATGTAATGAAATAATACACTAATTATGTCATGTATACGCGGTTTGTAATATAATATTAATTGGGTGCCCATTACAATAGGTAAATGTCATTAAATCATTGTTCTTAGACTCATTCTTAGACTTCGTCACAATGAATTGTTGATGGTGGTCGTCATGAGATAATACATTTGCCGACGAGAGCAAAGCGTCTTATGCAACATGCTTAATAACAAACGTTCCAATAGCGTATATTTTATAGCAATATCACGAGGTAAATTGTTGTTATAGTACTCTGCAATGTGCGATAATCGTCTAAGACTTAAAATGAGCAGATATTGAGGATTTACGGTTTAGGAGGTACATTGAGTTTCTTAAAAATCGGTTTGGTAATAATCTTGTTAGTACGCGTGTACAAAGTATTGAATATACTTGGTATGCTAATATTGTTAACGCGGAGGGGACGTGTATGATCGCTGTTCCAAAAAGACGTCAAAGCATGGACGAATATCCGGAGGAAGTTGCATCAGGAAAATTGTTATGCCTCAACTCTCGTTTTCCATTCTCGCTTAGAATAATCGTCGTCTAAGTAACTACTATAACCACGACAACCGTTTTATCATCGTTCCTCGGCATTGAAGTAAAGCGTAAATGTTAACGTGCGTATTTACTATTCTATGTTGTACCTTATAATATTCTAAATCATCGATGAGTTAATCACTCCGGAGACGGTATGACGCGCAATGTAAGTAATACACTATTAACAATAAGCGCGTGTTTTGCGATGGTGCGATCTTTATTTTTGTTTGCATTTTTTAATCTTCGATTTTATTTGATCTACCCTCGGACGAACGGGCCACCGGGCTATTACTTTCCGGACGACTCTGACCTGTATTCGAATACATGAGACCGGCATCATATCAATCGTTTTAAAGACATTTTAAATGCGTGGCCTCCGGCTTTGTTATGTGAATGTGAGCGTTTCTTTAAAAATTATTTTTCCTATTTTAATAAAACGTCTACCGATCGAAATTACAACCGTGCCACGAGCCTCAGGGTGCCCATTGCGCACGGCGCATATTATTTATACATCGTATTTTTATATGTATGTGCGTTTCATGTATACATACATATATATGGTATATATATACAAAACATTTGTATTCAAGTTCAATTATTAATAATAAAAAAATAATAATAAATAAAAAAAAACTTAAAAAAACAGGAACTCGATTTGGAGGCGGTGTTCCGCACGTGCCTGTAGTTAAAAAAAACACATGCGCAGAATTAATTTATACATACAACGATGTATACTACAAAATCGGATCAAAAACAGGAACGTTATGCGAAACCGGAAGAACAACATTTAAAAATGTAAATATCATATCAGAAGCCTATGTGCCAATCTTTAATGATGAAAAAGTATTGATCGTTATTGCACGTTTAAGTACCTGTACATACATAATTTAGTATACATTTAATAAACACGATCGATAAACATTTGTCAATACAAATAGAAATCGGTTATTTTTTGATCTCTTGTTTACATGTACATGTTAGATAATACCGAATGTTTTATAAATGCTATACGAAATTCGGTTTCCAACTACACGTATGTTTTAAAGGCTACTTGACAGTTTATCCATACACAAGCAGTGGTGGATTTATGGGGAGCTAGGGTATTAGGGGGTTGAAGCACCCACCATTGCACGTATTGAACTTTATTTATATTATTATAAATTACTTAGAATTCAGACATCATTATGTATACTGTAATAATAAATTAAATATTAAATAAACAATTTTCCGCAAACTTAAATACTTGCATATAACACAATTGATTTTCTGAAACATTAAAACTCCAAATTAATAGTTTTATAGTCATACCCGAAGTCATACATTAAGGATTATTGTTAGCAAAATAACACCCACCATGAAAAAATATTAGATCCACGGCAGCTAATTAGTAAATTATTTAAATTCTGTAATAATAATAAAAAAAGTTGTGATCCTCTGTATTCATCACTGATGTTTTATTGCAGGGAAGTAGTGTTATACGTCCAGTGGCCTTCAAACCAGGTTCAATGAGATTCACCGACAACGGAGAAAGATATGGCTCCACGCCTATTCTGGCTAGATCCTCGCACAGACCTCTATATGGCAGTAAGTAATTTCCAACATGTAACGTTTATTACACCCGAAAAACAAACACGGTGTAAGTGTTACAGTAATGTTTCCTATTATCTTGATTCTGGACCACTGATGCAGTAAAACGATAATATTATGTGTAGTGTTTCCCCGTAAAGAAATCCGATATTTTAAATTATTCATTAGTTGCGGCCTGTACGTATGTATACGAGTATAGTTTTTTTTATTCCTATTCCTCGCGGTGTTTTCTACCGGAGTCGCACATGTTCTTTTTACAGCTGACTCGCCTAGTTTAACACCAGCTTAAATTTGATAAAACGATGAATTATATGCCAAACGCCTGAAATCAAATCGAGCATATTTAACAACCGGTCCAATCGGCTATAGGCGACTCGTATGCCTCATAAAATATAATGGAATTATATCGATACTTAATTTTAAATTTATTTTATTTTTTAAGACATTTAATGTTGTCTAATAATCAATCTAACTGGAGTATAATTTTTAATTGAACCATTTTAATTTACCGCCATATCATAAAATGAGTCTAATCATAATAGAGATAAATGGGTGTAATTGCATTAAAACTCTTATACAACTATAATCACCATATAAGTTTCCGTTTTCGCTAGATCTTTGTAATTACATTAATTATCCATTGTAAATCGTTGGTAACTATTAATCACTAAATCTTTAAACGAACAATTAACATAGGTACCAACGAACTGCATCAGTTAAAAAAACCAAATATGATAGCTTCCGGGACGTTGGACCGAAAACTACGATCAGCATCACCAATGGTGATGTCATCATTGCCCGCTCAGACCAGCTGCAAATTTCGGTTGGGCCAGCAAGACGATTTTAAATCATCCTCTTCGTACAGTTCCTATAGAGATTACCGACCCAGGTATTGAATAATATATGCGCTGTTAATGTGTATTAATGTATAATAATCATATGCAACTGACGTGTATAATTATGTTCAGTTCCAAGTCCTTCGCGAGGCTCAATAAACGATGTTCCGCGTCTGAAGGGTCAGCTAGCCTGTTAGACTTGACACCTTCCCCGTCCGAATCGACAATGCTGTCCGAAATGGAAACAGTATTGAAAGACAGGGACCGTGAACTGAGACACCTCCGACAAACAATGGAACACAACGAACAAGTGATATTTAGAGTGTACCAAGAAAAAGAAAATGCGTGGGAAAGAGAACTACGAAGGATCAAAGCAATGGGCGATAGTCGGCTTAAGACGGCTGCGCAAAAATCACTGAAGCTGGAACAGATGCTCATGATGCAGACGTACAAGGTGAATATACAGAAACATTGATCATTGTTTCATTATAAAAATGATTTTTTGCGTTAGTTGCAGGACGATAAAAAAAGACTGCAAGAAGAAAATGATCGTTTGGCGACAGAAACGACAGGCCTAAAGAAAGAAATTGATGATTTAAAGGTAAGACTCGAGGAAACCGAATGGGGTCTCTGCCAGAAATCCGGAGAACTGTCACACGTCAAGTCACAACTGAAAGATACTCAAGTAAGTAGTGAAGTCGCGCGTGGACAAAAACAAAGCGTACCTTCATGTATTTATATTGTTTATATATATGTATTATATCCCGAATATATTTGAATATATCCTGATGAAAAAAAAAAGATATCCAAAAAAATAATTTTTAACTTCACTTCCTAATATATGTATAATATATAATATATTATTGAATACCAGAATGTGTATATTTTAATTATTAGCATTATTTATTTGTTAAATGTTAGTATATAACTTGAATAACTTAAATAATTTTATTATTATAAATAATAATACATCATTATGTACCTATGTATAATATTCAACTTCACGTTAATTTCTTATTCATGTTGAATAACACAATATAAAATAGAGTAAAAACTAGTTTTCAATTTTTTATTTGAATATGTTATTTAATGAAAAAAACATAAGTAACAATTTTTATAGTGAATTTAATTTAAAAAATATCTTATTCTATAAGTTTTTTAGCTATCATATATATTTTAGATTATAATTTCAAATTACGCAAAAATCGGGAAAAGCACAATTTTTTTTAACTTTAACCCCTTCGAGGTACGCCTTAGAGTTGACCATTTTTTCTGAAATTAAACATAAGTTATTTTTTTTATAGTTTTGAACAAATTCTGAAGATAGCCCGATTACTTTAAATAAAAAAATAAGGACCATTCTAATGTGTAACGTGTTGTTATTTGTCATAGGCGTTTTCGACGCGTTGTTTTTATTTGTTGTGTTTAATTTTCAGAGCGAACTTACCGTGAAATGCCACGAAGTGATCGCGTTAAAATCTGAAGTCCGAGACCTGTTACAGAAGCTCGAATCGAAAGAACGGCGTATTCAAGAACTCGAGGGTAAACGTCCAGAACGATGCGTTGACGGCGTGGCCGATGACAACACTTGCGACAAATTAGCAGAGGACAAATTTTATTCGATTGTCGGACGACTCAACGAACAGGTACGTCGAGTTATTAATATTAGATATTTTGTGTATACATGTACACGCATAGACGTTGCAGTACATCGGTATTTTATAATCTTCTACTTGTTCCGACTTTTATATTACTTTCAAAAGTTTTCGTCACTATCACCAGTTCATCCCACTTGCAGTCCTCATCCCTTACTAACGATAATCACTAACGATAGTGACCCCGTGACCTTTTTCCTTCCGGCACTCGATCTAGTATTAATCTGATTTCTGTACCTGCACTGCACTGTGTTAAATCATCTATCCATCGGATGCTTTGACTTTTTACGAACCCATTTATCGGTGCCAATTTAAATTCCTCCGGTAGTTTTCAGTAGAAAACTTACTTCTTACGGCCTATCGTAGCGTCCAAACCCCCTTCACATAGTACTGTTCTCTAAATTATATTTTCAACCGTACTCGGAATTTTTTTTATTTATTTATTTATTTTTGTGCGTATGACACGTGTGTCGTGGTACACACGATCATAAGTGAGCGTCCGTACCACAATTGATGTATGCAATGTTACTTCTATTCGCTTCAAAAAGCATTGAGCATTGAGTGAGAAAAAAAAGGATTTAAACAATGCAACAAAGAACACTGTTCGACGTAACAGTGATAAATAATTATGGCTTTATTATTAATACAGCGCGTTTCGCAGGTGGAGAACGAGTTGAACAAGTCGAACAAGTTTTCCGAGTGTAGCATCGAAGATCTGTCACTGTTCCCGAAGAAAGAAACCGAGGCGGACTCGAGACTGGAACAGCTCAGAGAACTCGAACGACACACTGCCAAGCTGATTCGGCTGTTGAACGAGGAACGGAAGAACTGGGACCAGGAGAGGCTGAAATGGTTCCAGGAAAAGGAGAAAGTGTTGTGTTACCAAAGGCAGTTGCAGATGAACTACGTGCAGATGTTCAGGAGGACGCAGGCGTTCGAGGCGCAGATCGAGAACCTAACCGTCCAGATGAACGTGTGCTCGGACCATTGTACCAACGGCAAAAACGCCACCAGGAAGACGGCCGCCACCGTGAAGGCCGTGAATGCCATCAAACTATAAGACAAAAGCCGCACGCGTCGCCCGTTGAATGTGTTTGGAGTTTTTACCATTTTTTTTAATTATTTCTTATTATATTATATTATTATATTTTATTTTCGGTATGCCTTTCATCTACAACTTTTGTAACGTTTAACATTACAAATACTTATTATTCAATCATGCATCGATCGGTTTGTGTTGAAGTGAGTGCAAATTTTAATATAGGATTTTTTTTTTTTTTTGTGAATTCACATATACCTAAATAATTAAATATATTTTATTGTTATTCGTTTATTATTTATCACGTATAGATGGATGACTACTTTTATTATTATTATGACTACGTATGGTGGCGTCGGAAGTATATACAAATAGGTACCACTATTGTCACCCGTGATCGATTTATATCATAGGGTTCTGGACGGAAATTAAGTGTTCGATTAAACCGCGTAAGAAAATATATTAATCGATCGCTCTGCCCAAATTGCGCGAACGGATAAAACACGAGTAGGTACCTAACTAATATTGGCCCATTGTCTTCTCAGCTTAAAATTACATTGAGTCGTAATTTGTACTTTTTATAGTAGAAAATAATATTTTTATTTATTTATTTATTTTTTATTTGAACTTAAGTGTGTTTGAGCCGATCACCGGCCTATCATGTTTGCTACCATGGACATGATAAGTGGGGGAGGAGGATAAATAGTCAAGTTTGTGTGAATGGGGAACAGGAATATATTTTGTCATCGCTGTATTTAAAATAAAATCTTAGAAGCATTTGGTACATAAAAAGCAACAAAAAAGACTTAAATAAAATACTTAATTTTATTTGTAGATATATGTATAACAATAATAAATAGTATATTTTTAATGATTTTATTATACTTAATTAAAAAAGTTTAAATTTAAATTTAAAGAATTAATTTCATAGGAGGGGGGGGGGTACGATAATTTATTGTCCTGAATATCTTAATACGGGATCGCTCTAATGGTATTGGGGTGAATATTAATCGTATTCGTGAGTGGGTAAATAATCTACCGGAGTAAATAATTCTTTGTCTCCTCATTTAAAAGTTAAAAGAGAACTATTTTTACGTACTCATAATATAAATTGTTTTGTGAATATTTACTTTTCGGCAGATACGCCGTAGTAAGATACGCATCGCACCTAAATAAAAAATACATTTCATCTATGATTATAATAATCTAATGGATACAAGTACAGAACCAGTGGGTGGGGGTTATAAGGGCTGGAAGGCCTCTCTCCCAAAAAACCAAGATTAGATCTTTCGTGTTTATTTATATATATAATAAATAATATATACAATAAAACAAAAGAGATTAAACATTGTTTTTAATAATTAACAATAACTAATGAAGTTCCAATTGCAATGAATAAATAGCTTTTGTTATTTTTTAGCTGTGTACGCAGAGGTATCGAAAAAAAATTGTAAATAATCTAGTCAATAGCCACTCAATTTATAACTTACAACCCACCTCTCATATAATAATTTCCAATAAATATATTTAACAACAGTATAATATACTGTTATATTATATTATACTAAGAATTATTGATTTAATAATATTATAAAATTATTGCTATGATTAAATAATAAATGGAGTTCAAGAATAGTGTTTTAAATATCCAATTTTCTTCCTATTTATAGAAATTCGTTATCGCCGATCGACGTACCATAGTGTGTGAGAAAGTAGTTTCTTGGAGACTGTTACTATTAACAGTAATTATGCTTAGGTTAAGCATTTTTACAAAGAGCTCTAGAAATAATATTATTTTAACTTATAAATTTATAATATTTTAAGAAAGCTAATTTATAGAATTATTTTTAATTTTATGAATTTATTAACGATGCAACGGGATCACCTTATGGGAAGGGAGGAAGTAGTTTGCCTAAGATTTTTTTAATACCATTTACATTTTTGGTTGGTGGGTCCCATTTTATATTTGACTTTAGGGTTCCCAAGTGTTTAGTTGCGCCACTAACTGTGTATTATCTTTTTGTCCTTTCAAAAAATGACCCCCTCAATTATAATTCTAGAAATAAAAACGGATACATTACCAAGAATCCTATGATAAATTAATATCCGCCTAAAAAATGCTACAGATTGTAAATAATTGAGTAGATCGGTGCGATTCAATAGCTTTGAAAGAGTAATTTGATAGTAGGGTAAAGTGGTTTAATGAAGATGATTGAACGAAAAATGTTCATGACACTGTTTTGTTCGAGATATAGTTATATTATAATAGATATAGATATAGATATAGATATAATAGATATATTATAATATTTAGATATATTTGTCACCGTTTTATTCGCATGTTGTATGTACACTAATTGATGCGCTCTCTAAGTCTCCTGGACGAAAAAAAAATAGAATATATTGAATTAATTAAATTAATCATAATAAATAATTTAATTAATTGGTTTGCTTTAGTAGTACCTTGTAATGTGTCGATTATATAATTTTATATTCCCTAATTAATATCCATTACAATATCTCGTATCAGTGGCGTAACCGAGGAAGGGCTAAGGGTGCTATACGAAAATGAACGAATACAGGTATTCTTCGCTAACAAGATACGGTAACTTCAAGGAAAAACTCTAATTACCTTAACTAGACTACCTACTAGTAAAATCTAACCTAACCTGCGGTTTTATTTGTATTCCTCAGATATTCTTTTTTAACGAAGGTTTTCAACAAATATGACTAACACTGACATTACATTCACACTAATACCTAGTCCTATAAAATCCATTTCATTCAGAATTTATAGTCTTGCACAAGATATAATTTTAACAGGAAAGATCAAAGCAACATCAAATCAGCTATCACCATAAGGTCCACAATTATTGTTGAAATACATTTAGAGACACTGATACATTTTTGAGAGCATCAGTATCAGTGTCACCTAATCAAAATATTGGTATATATTATATTAATTGTTTTATAATAGTAAAATAATTTTTAGACTATGAAATTAAATATATTATAAAGTAAGGCAGAGTACATACATAAAATACCATTTTATATGATTTATATATTATTTATACCTATAAGCGAAACATTCGCAGGTGATAGTCTTAAACAATAACCAAAGTGATAATGATTTATAATTTTAAAATGTAATCAGTAAAGCCGTTAAACACATAAAATACATAGACACAGGATTGCCTAATTCTTTGGCGTTAAATTCCTGGCAGTAAAAATTTTGATTCCGAACAGTTGGTGTATTATTATAAAATGTTATCTTATCATTTTTATCTCTTATCAATGAGGAGAACTGACCTAAGCCCGTGGGTCGCGCCTCCACGACCGGTGTACGTTATCTACTATATGTAACAATGATTAGGTAAATTACTTCAAGACCTGTGTATTATTTTATAATGACATTATAACTGTAATATTATTTTCTGTGGTGTCGATACAATTATAACTCTTGAATTGTTTTGTATTTGCCTAAATACCTAATGATATAAATTGTGGTGGTGCGGTATTCCGTGGCTTTCTGGTTGCTAACGTTTGAAAAACAGTAACGGCCTTGCAGTAGTTCGCTTACTGCCACTTGGAACGCCATACAATGTCTAGTTCTCAAAAGGAAATCAATCCGAATACATACACCAATAATGTATGGAAACATACCAAAGGAAAGGTCAACAGAAAGTTAGAGCGTGCCCAGCCGTACAGTTTTTTTTTGTCCTCAGTAGATCGTGTTTCAGAAACACATGTCGAAGACCTGACACTATCATTTACAGGTACTTAACTCTTACTCAGATACGATAGAATAACATGAGTATAGGTGTGCCCAGCCCTCGAAATGTTGTAAATGTGGCTCCACAATTTTAATAAGAATGTTAGAAAGAACAGAATTAAAAAAAAGAGTAAGAAGCGAGTATTTTGATCAGTACTTCTCAAATTAAATGTTATTTATTCTAAAATATTTGGTAAAAAGTATCTAAATTACATTTCACAATAGAAAAAAATAGAACTAAAATTGTTTTAAGTTTTTGAGCAAAAACTTATGATAACTTAACAGCTATAAAAGTACACATTATAAATAATTGAAACTATATGAGAAAAATATATGAGATTCAAGGAAAACATATTTGTGAGGACTAATATACTACCACATTAAATAAAAAGTTAAAAGTATATGTATTTAATTATTTAGACATTATAATTTATTATATATATCTTCACATTTTGTTGAGATAGGACTCAAAAGTATTGTTAGAGCCTTCTGAAATACAGGTTTGCACATGCTTATGAACATGAGCATGAAAGTATGTAAGAGTGGTTTGTATAATATGTATCCTATTGTATTTCAGAACTTTTAGACAAAAGTCTTGGCGACTTGGAAGATTCACTTCATATAAACTTCATAATTGAACTTGGTTGGCTCTATGCTCAGTATCGAATAACTGGTCAGAGGTAATATGACAAGTTCATTTTAATTAAAACTATTGTCTGGGTTTATACACCTTATGAAATATTTAAAAGAAACTTAAGATTTATATTATTTTGTATAAGAGTTACAGTTATTTAAAACTAAATTTTATATATGTGAACCTGCTAAATGAGCTTGACGGTTCTTTAAAAAAAAAAAATTAAAATAGAAACTTTATTAGAAAGAAATACTTTTTTTTTTTAATTTGAATAATTTGTTTTTAATTAATATAATGTGTGCAAATAATGATTTGTAAAATGCCAAATAAAAATGTAAAGTATTGTATTTTGGGGGTTCCTAAGTTTTTTCTTTTTCCATATCTTATGCTAAATATTTTGCTAAAATAAAGTTTTAATTTAAATTCCATGTTTAATTTGTTAATACTTTTGTTTTTTCTTATTAAGTGGAAAAAATGTCAATTATATTCCAATCTTCTGATTATGAGTTTGATGAAATGAAAAAAATACCAAATTTAAGTTTTCAAAATATAAAACTATCAAATCCATTTAATCATCACCATAGGTTAGTAACAATGTAAACATTTTAGTTTTTATTTAATATATGATAAAAATTTAATATTAGCAATTTTCAGTAAGTTATCAATGTTTGCTTATGCAGATGGAAGTATACGAATTGTAGTTATGACTGGAAATCTTCGGGAAGTAGAATTTATGAACATGACTCAAGGGTAAAAATATGAGTTTTTTTTTTTTAAATTTTTAATGTATCATTTATTTATTTATTTAGGTTTTGGGTAAGCCCAAAATTCCCATTGAAAAATGAAGATGATAAATCTGATGGTGACTCAAAAACTGGCTTTAAAAAAGATGTTTTGCGATATTTACATTATTATAATTTACCATTATTAAAACCTTGGATACAAAAAATTGAAAAAGCTGATCTCAGTAAAGCAAAGTAATTATTTATATTAATATACATTGTTACCAGAAATTAATATTGGAACTTTTTGGTGCATAGTGTTTTTTTTATTTCTAGTGTTCCAGGCAAACACTTTGAGCCTATGTGGGGTCATGTATACTTGAACAATATTCTGAAAACTCATGCTTGTATACCATCTGGTAAACCATCAGACTGGCCTATAATATCCCAAGCCTCATCTTTGGGGAGTTTTGGTGTTAGCGATAAAGACTGGTTACTATCAGAATTTGTAGAAAGCTTGTCTCAATCTACCCATTATAGCACTGAAAAAAATTCTGTAAACTTCAATTTGGTTAGATTAATAATTATTTGAAATATTAATATTACTTTAATAATCAGTTTTGTACTTCAGATTTTTCCAACCATGAAAAATATTTTAAATGGTTGGGATGGACGAGTAGGTGGTTTGTGTGTGCCATACACTGACAAAGTACACCAAAAACAAACATGGCTTAGAAACTATATGTAGTGAGTATTGAATTATAAAATTTATCATTATATTATAATATGATACGTCTTTTGTAACTTTATACATTTTATACAGTAAGTGGGTTTGTAATTCACGAAATCGATCAAAGAGCGTGCCACATATAAAGACCTACTGCCGGATTTCACCTTGTAATACAGAAATGTCTTGGTTCTTACTGACTAGTGCTAATTTATCAAAAGCTGCATGGGGTAAAAAATTAAAGTCGGATCGAAGTTACAGCATAAGTTTATATGAAGTTGGAGTTTTATTTTTACCTCAATTTTTTGGTATAATTATTAATTTTAAATTTTATATTAACCACTTTTATAAATTTATAATTGTTACAAATATTTTATTTTGGTAGACTGGATGTGATACATTTTCTATAAATCACAAACAACATGATGGTAGATCACCACCTTTTCCTATGCCTTTTGATCTGCCATTATCTCCATACTCAAGTACTGATCAGCCATGGCGAATGGATGTGTTTTAACGTATTATGTCAATAAATTATTATTATTTATTTAAGTTTTTAAATGCATTTGTATACAATAAAAGAATATTTTTAAAATTAAATATTAATATTTTCATATTTAATTTGCTTTAATATTATTTAACATGTGTTTTTTTAAGTTATTTTTACCTTCCAAACTGTGTTCCAATAAATTGTTTAATTTAATTAATATAACTTATGATTCTTAAGTTATGAACATTACATGGGATACCTCAGTACGATTTATTTTTCTACTATAAGTACTTACTAAAGTATAAAGAAACTAAATTGATGTATTCAAGGTGTCTCATGTTAATATAAATTATATTAAGTTATTTTTAAAGAAATCTGATATAAAAAATAATGTGTTTATTTATCAAATTGCATGTAACTATAGTTATCTGAAACAAATTTATAGCTCATATAGGTATTTCTAGGACCTCTAAAAAAGAAATATGTAAATTCTACAAGTGATGAGCCCTGCTAATTATTAATAAGTTATATGATATTATATTAATATAGATAAAAATCACAAATATACAATTCTCAAAAACATATAAAATATTTTTGCCATAAATAAGTTATTTTTAAATTAAAACCAATTGTGTTATGCTCATAAATATTTATTTAAAATGTTTATATTTATTAACAGCCAATATTGTCAGTAGACAAAATAGTCATAGCCCACTTGGGTTCAATTTTAGTTCCCTGAAAAATTATTCAAAGTTTAAAATTAAGTACATTCTTAAATATCATGTTACTTTTATTTTAAAATTTTAAAAAAATGTATAATACTTACCTATCTGTATTCATAAATTAAAAGATTGAATTCATTTCGGCATTTTGTATACTTTGGTACCTACTACCAGGGGTGTCCTTAGGGCAAGGCGAGCGAGGCCCTCACCTTGGGCTCTGCGCTCTCACCACAGTTGGACAGGACTTGCTTTCATGGATCATAGATACAATAAAAAAAAAGTTAAATTGATGAGAAAAAAAAATGTACAAATTGTTTTTTTTTCGTGTAAAATTGTTTATTAGGTATATAATTAATTTATTTACTTATTCATATTATTATAAGTGCAAGGTACTATATTTATTAAGATTGCTCACATTTGAGTTCCAATATGCAACTGACGTGTGATGGTGACATTTAAGGCTCCGCAATTTTACTCTACCCCGAACCCCACAACTCATCAGGACGGCCATGCCTACTACGTAATTATATTCATCAGTACCTAACTAATAATTTAATATCATGTATATGTATTCCTGTATTCAATAATATGATATTTATTATTTTCAATCATATTACTGGGTATTTATATAGATATTAAAATAATAATAACTTAATTTAAGTTAATTGAAAATGTTCATTAAATATAACATTTAACTTAACTGAATTAAAAAAAAAAAAAAAAAAAAATAGGTTAATTGTTAACTTAAAACTTTTTAAAATATTTTCCATCAACTTAACTCAGTTAAAAATTATCATTAACTTGTCCAGGCTTGTAAATATATAAACATATTTAAATACAGGACTTACTCTAAGGATTTTTACCTACTGCCCAAACACACTGAAAATTTTGTTTTATGAAATTTATTTGGATTATAACAATTAGCCCCTCCCCAAATAAATTGTATATTGATATTTTAAAATTTTGACCATCGCGTGGTAAAATATTTTAAAAAATACGGATATTTTCCGTTATACGTATACCACTATTTAAATTTAAATGTCGTAGATTAATCAATCATCGAAGTAGTAAAGATTGTAAACTTACATAATTATTACTTATTAGGTACTATGTTGGGTTTGTAAATTACACAAATTTCAAATACTCAAAAGAAATTCAATCATTCTATAGGAAAATTATATATTTGTAAGGTGCCCATATTCATAAAGTTAACTGCTTTTTAAAACTTGATTTTTCCTACTACCCAATTTTGATCTTACTGCCCGTTAGAATAAGACCTGTATAAATATAAAAGATCTAACGATACATTTATTGATAAATATATAAATACAAGAAGCGTATTAATATGATAGCATGATTTTTATCATTATGATTGCAGTATCAAATGATAAACAGTAATTCAAAGTGGAGTCGAGAAATATTTTACCCTAGGTGACTTTAGTTTTAGATCATTTGAAAATTAATTTATAAAAAAATTCCAATTTTTACAGAATTATTTAAGTTTTTTAAAAAAAAGTTTTTTTATTATTTTCATTACAAGATACTGGAAATGTAAATAGAAAATCTAAAGATGGAAATCAAAAGCTTGTCTCTTGCCCAAAAGTATTGATAGATAACAATAAAAATATGAACTTCGTGGATAATTTTGATCGTTTGAACAGTGACTATAAGTTTGACAGAAAAAGTATGAAATGGTATTTATGATTAATTTTTCATTTTGTTGAATATGCAATAACTAACTCGTATATCATACATAAAGAAATTGAAAATATGCCAAAATTTACCAATAAAGATTTTCATAGAAGTATTTATAATGATTTATTGACTAACAAAATAATAAGTACTGAAAATAAATCTTCACCAGCAATACCAAAAGCCCGACCTTCAGTAATATCATTAAAAAAACCAATTGTTATGGAAAGTATACGTAATGAGTCTTCAGCACATCAACCAACGTTCATGGAAAGGTAATGGAGGTGTCTATATAACAATAGACTGTTCTACGAATACAATTTCATGGAAGAAATTTTATTTTATTTCACAATTACAATTTCCACTTTATTTATTATAACCAGTAGCGTGTCATACATGTGTGCGATGTGTGCAAATGCCACGGGCCCTCGGCTTGGGGGCCCCATTTTTACTCAACGTTCTACAAAAAAAAAAAATAATTAAATAAATACAGTTATTTATGAAAAAATAAAAAATTGTTTTAAATTTCAAATGGTTCTCATTTACTCAATCTAAATTAGTATATCATTGTTATAAAATATAGATATTATATTTCTGTGATGTACTTTACTGTGACGGTGAATAAACGTTATTTATAGACAGGGACTGCGCGAGGGGGTGGGCAATAGGGGCAGTTGCCCAGGGCCCCGCGCCTTAAATTATAATTAAGGTCCCGCGGTTGTGATTTAACTGAACTTAAAATATTTTATTAATATAAATTATAAGATCCAACATTTATTTTACCCAGGGCATCGCAAACTCTAACACCGTCACTGTTTATAGCAATCCGTACCGGTGATTTTTTTCATTATCGCCTTGTCGCTTATGGGCCGTTGTATTATAATCATTATCTTCATATGTGCATATCAAGATGCATATGAAGGTTCATATGTGCATATCCACCTTGGTGCATAATATATATTATATAAACGTATATGTCATAGATAACACGATTAAATATTATCGCTACGTAAACGTATTACTTGATTGTATTTTTCTGTGATACTCGTAGTCTCGTGTCTCGTGTGTCGTCGTTTAGAGTCTATTCAAAATAATTTACAAAATACTCAATAAATAATTATACTCCATTAATTAATAATATGATGGCATCAAAATCTGCTAGTGATGTTGCAAAACGCAAAATAAAAAAACATGTTATTATATGCGAAGTAATTTATATTTTTAGTATCATCGTTTTTCAATAATCATTTCCATTAAACTTGTTTTTATTAGCGGAAGATTCTGTTCTCTCAAACGTTTCGTTGGATTATTTACCAACGTCAACAGGGGTAGGAAAATTCTTTACTAATAAAATTTCTTGTTTTGTTATCCATTCTTCTGAAATTCGAACACAATGAATTAGTAAATAACTATGTTAAAAGAGTTCAGCTTCATTTAGTTTACTTCCAAACTTACTTTTTTGTTTATCCACAGGAACTAAATATTTTACGATTGATTTCTTAAAAACATTGCCATTTTTATCTTCTTTTTTCACAGAAAGAACAATACGCACAGTTTCAGAACAGGTTCCTATTGTTGATGCACAAGTCTGAATAATTGGTGTGTTGGAAACATCGGAATATTCAACAGATTTTTGTGACTTCATATTTATATCCTTTTGTATAACATTGATATTATTGTGGTTTTCTTTTTTTGCGTCCATCGAAGAAGTATCTATTACTGAAAGGTCGACGATAGCAGAGTTTTGTTCTGATATATCTTTTCGGTGGACTTTTGACAAAATAACTGATTCTTCAGTCTTCTTATCAAAGGCAACTGAAGTAGGAGTGTCTTTTACTGTAGAACACTCTTGTGATATTATCGCATCTTCTGAAATTCAAACAAAATAATTGACCAAATAATAACGTTAAAATCAATTAGGCTTTATTTAGTTGGTTTACAAACTCACTTTTTTGTTTATTCATTGGAACCCATTTTACGAAAGATTTATTTACAACTTTTCCGTTCTTATCATTCTTTTTTACCGAAAGAACGATACGCACGGCTTCAGAACAGGTTCCTATTGTTGATGCACAAGACTGAATAATTGGTGTGTTAGAAACATCAGAATATTCAACAGATTTTTGTGATTTCATGTTTATATCCTTTTGAATAACATTAATTTTATTGTGGTTTTCCTTATTTGCGTCCGTCGAAGATGTATCTATTACTGAAAGGTCGACGATAGCAGAGTTTTGTTCTGATATATCTTTTCTGTGGACTTTTGATAAAATAACTGATTCTTCAGTCTTCTTACCAAAGGCAACCGAAGTAAGAGTGTCTTTTACTGTAGAACACTCTTGTGATATTACCGCTTCTTCTGAAATTCAAACAAAATAATTGAGCAAATAATATTAGCATTGTTATGGGCTACCACATATTCCTAGAAACATGTATAAATAGAATTGTGCATTACACAATATCACAGGTGTTACACACCTATATTTGATTATTTGGCCATAAACCAGTAATATATATTAAAAGATGTTATATATTATAATAAGGAATAATGCCGAAACAACAAGTCCTATGACGCCAATCGAGTCATATAAAAGAGGGATCAAAGTAAGTCGTAAGTTGTAGCGGATATTAAAAATGGGATTGACCATTTTTGACAAAATGACCACAATACAGATGAGTTCTAGTCACGGAACTACATGCAACTTCACGTCACTCTGTATCAGAATTTTTGTTAACACTTTTAAGTTATAAAATAAATGTATTAAACGTATTAAAAATCTCATGTTTATTAAAATTAAATACATCTTCGAATGCAATACTTGAAATCGAGCCGGTGGCACGTAACAGCATAAAATAAAACTGAATGAAATGACGGATTAAAACTCTTAAACCAATTATAGTAGCAAAACATCTGTTTGAATTTCGCAATGAACACTCTGCAATTGATCAAGTACACCATGTCCCTAACGTGATAAGCAAATGTCTTAAACGAATAAAATATTGTTGCAGTGTACTTTGGCGTAACACAGGTTTTTACAAAGACTGGCACATACTTGGGATGAAATTTTGGAATCTAATTTATGATGAGAGACAATAGTATGATAATAAGAAGATGATAATAAAGCGATATCATCAACATATGTTCCAACTACAGTATTTCCTGATGTGGGCAGGTCCAACGTGTATATGGTGTACAAGAATGGTACAATATCACTGCCTTGAGGTACACCAGCAGATATAGGATATTATGTTGAGTGTTGTAAGTCGTAGCGGATATTAAATAAGGGATTAGCGGGATAGGATTTAAGTATTAGGTATAATATGACTGCAAATATATATTTTTTTTAAGGAGAGCGTCGTATAAGATGGTATATAAAGCTTTCGCGACGTCTTGAAAGACTCCGGCACAATATTTTTTGGTCATCCGAAGAGATGATATTCGAAACCCGTTGAAGTTGATGGGAGGTGGAATGGTATGCTCGAAAGCCAAACTGGAAATCTGGGATACAGTTATTTTATTGGGCTATGTTGATAATTCACTTGAAAATGATTTTTTCAAGAACTTTACCCAACACAGGTGGTAAATTAATGATCCTTTACGAGGAGGGGATTTCTGGAGGCTCACCAGGTTTGTGTGCTAAGACAATAATAGATGATTTTCAGGTAGTTGGGAAGTACAATAAAGGAAGAGCTGCATTATAAATATGAGTTAGATTAGTTCGTTAATCTTTCATAGACAGATTTTTAATTGCTTTGTTGGTTATAAGGTCGTTTCCTGGGGATTAGTTAATTGCTGATTAACAGATATTTTAATGACATCTATGAGTGGCGATTGCTTCGACTTACCATTACATTCAGTAATTGCAGTTTCAAAAAGTATTTTTGAATAATCTAAAATATAAAAGTATTTTTGTAATTTTTTAAGCATAATTGATATAAATATTTTTCTCTC